CATGGGGGTGAACCCCCCCCCCCCGGCCGATTACAGCAAATTTAAACTGAGCTTCCTCGTGACATTGTTCTACTTCCACTGACTTTCCAGATTTTCCCAGACTCTGTTGCAGGTTTTTCCCAAACATGCTTTGGTATGCTTTTTCCTAGAAGGTCATATTCAAAGTGGGTTTAGGAAAGTGTGGAAGGAAAGGTACGGATTTCTGCACCTCCCCACTCACATCCAGCACTGCATTTGTTGCCATTTTCCCTTCACCACTGGTAGGCTTTATATTTAAAAAAAATCAAAATCCTCACCACATATATAGAGATATAAAGGTAAAGGTAAAGGTTCCCTTGCTCGAAAGCCAGTCGAATCCGACTCTAGGGTTGCGGTGCTCATCTCCGTTTCAAAGCCGAAGAGCCAGCGCTGTCCGAAGACGTTTCCGTGGTCATGTGGCCGGCATGACTAAACACCAAGGTGCACGGAACGCTGTTACCTTCCCACCGAAGTGGTCCCTATTTATCTACTTGCAATTTCTTGCTTTTGAACTGCTAGGTTGGCAGGAGCTGGAACTAGAGACAGGAGCTCACCCCGTCTTGCGGCACCCGAGTCTTGAACTGCTGAACTACTGACCATCCACAGCCTGCAGTTCAGCGTCTTAACCACTTGAGCCACCGCAGCTCCATATAGAGATATAGATATATATAAAATGTATATATTGGGGCAAAAAGCCAGGTGGGAGGGGAGAGCATAGAGTAATTTCTGTGTGGAAGCATCTTTGCCACTGAAGTTGCCTTTCTATGCACAGCAGCAATTGCAGCAGAGAATTGCCCCCATACAAAAGCTACCTTAAATTCTTTGTTGGATTATGGCCTTTGACTTTTAAGAGGAGTTGATTGATTACGCACTGTCAGGTTTTACCCTCGTGTCTTGGTTTTTCCCCCCAGTGACTAGCATGGGGTATGTCCTGTACATACATGTCTTGATCTATAACAACTTTCCCCCTCCCTTGTGTTTAGCATTGTTGCAGAGACTTCTACAGGCTGTTTACTAGCCGGTTCATCACTCGGTAAAAGAGGTGAGAATTATGCTATTTCTGATGAAGATCTTTAATATATTTAATGGTGACGTCTTTTCCTTATCCATGTTTTCCTTATCCAGGCAGCTATGATTTCATAACAGTGGTCAGTAAAATTCCATGAGGTTTCTTTCCTAATATATGTCCAGTTCACAGGATTGCTATTCTCACATAGTAACTGTGATGTGTGAAATGGCTATTGTAGATCGTAGTCTTTTTGTCACATGTACAGCCCTCCTCCTCTGTCTCCAGCTGAAGATGTGGGCCCAGTTAAGACAAACTTCTGTATATGTAGATACTACATGTTGTGGAGGCGCAAGATTGTGTCTACCAGCTGTGTCTTCCCCTCCCCTCCAGGTCCTTCTGAAGAAACCTCAGCTATTTTAAAAATAGCATGAAGTTGTAGCCTGCTGTTAAAGTTTTAATTTGTTAAAGAGGCAGTCATGCTTTGGAGCTTGGCTAAATTTCCGTGCACTTTTTTTCACTCAGGTAAATCCTCTGACAAAGTTGGAATTGAAGCTGCTGAGATGTTGCTTGGAAACCTTCGACATGGAGGAGCTGTGGATGATTATCTGCAAGACCAGGTAAGAATTGGAGCCTGGGAAATATCTAAATCTCATTTTAAAGTGCCCTGTGTTTTATGCTTTGGTTGGGTTTTAATGCTGGGTATTCATAAGTATTATGAGGTTTTATGGCTTCATTTTATTTTGTTTTGTAAATTGCCTCAGGCAGGTTCCTTGGGGAGGCAGTGTAGATATTTTCCAAATAAATAAATACAGCAGTTCTCTCACTTATTAAAAATTGCAAAGGGAAATCAGAAGAATCATTAATTCTCTTCTCACAGATTGGCATTTTGGGAGCATATTACACCAGCATATGAACTGCTTTTATTTTACTTTATGGGCACAAATAAGTGGATAAAATATGCATTTTTGATCTATAACCATGGCTATGCATATTCTAAACAAAAAAAATCCTAACTCCAAACAAAGCCAGTTTCTGGAACATGTATATATTATGCCAATTAAGATTTGCATAATTTATTCCTCCCTTCCTAGATGGCAGGGAGCTAAGGTAGGTTATTTATGCTGTCTCTCATTACCATATTCAACCTCTTCTCTGGTTTCTGAGAGTTCATCTAGCTTTTAATACATACTTTCATGCCTGCGTTGCAGCCATAAGGACTAGAATTGTGCCTTTTAAAGAAACTGAAATCTTTGATTGTTGAGATGCTGAAATCTGTGGCTAATGCAAAGCAGCTAGAGCACAACATGCCAAAGAGACAGCTTCCTCCCCACTTTGTCATCATAGTTTATACGATTAATCAAAAGTACCCTAGCTATGAACTACATTCAGATAAGCAAGGACACACAGAGAAACATTTTGAATCACTCTTGGGGACATTTTCCCTTTGAAATATGATGTAGGTCTAAGCTTGGAATACTAGAAGAAAGTTAGAGTCCAGTGGTACCTTAAAGATCAACAAAGTTTTATTCAAGGTGTGAGCTTTCATGTGCACGCACATTTCTTCAGATACAATGAAATCTGCTGCTTCAGACCAATATGGCTGCCCACTGGATTCTATCTTCTTGGAATACTAGGTTAAACTGGTAAATGTGTGTGGACTTCAATCACTTCCTGGATTTTTAAATGATGTTCTGTTATTATTTACGTGCACCACTCCTTCAGGGAAGGCACTTCCTATAAATAGGAATGGATGGATGGAATTAATAGAGATGACACAAGTGTGAGGGCCAAATTAGATGTGACGGCATCGTCATGGCCATCACAAGGATGCCACCACCATTTTAAAGTCATTTAAAAATGCTCTGAGGGCCTGATTGGGCCCACGGAGCTCTTGTTCCACATCTCTGTGCTTTTTCTAGAGTGGAAGCAGCTGTGGGGGAGGGGTGTATGGCCACTTCGATACTTGTTAAGGCGCAGAGGGGGGAGCAAGAGTGCCTCAGACTGCTGTGTTTCATGCCTGATTAGGATCGGGCCTTTGTGGTCATGAGGATGCTGTCATGTCTGGTTGATCCTCAGTGGCTCATAGACAAGGAATGTTGGTTTGACTTTCTTTAGCTGTCTGGAGAGTAATATAGTGTCACTGAAGTGATTATTCTTCATTTCCCCCCCTCCCCCCTTTGAAGCTGATAATTTTCATGGCTTTAGCAAACGGGGTCTCTAGAGTGAAAACTGGACCCATTACCCTTCACACGCAAACTGCTATACACTTTGCAGAACTGCTGACAAAGGTGAGTACATGTATATTTAAGTCCTATACACTTTGCAGAACTGCTGACAAAGGTGAGTACATATATATATTTAAGTCCACCGGCAAGTCAGTCCCAAGTTTGGCCTTTGTCTAGTTTAGTGCTGGGATTATGATTCTTCAGTACAGCTATTGCAGCTATGGAATAAAGTCTCTGAGGCCTGAGCATTAGTGCCTGAATGTACTGGTGCTTCTTTTCCATTTTTGTAATGTTTTTGTGAGATGTGCAGTGGCAGATAAATCCATATTCCAGATATATAAATCTTAAAATCAAACTATTCACAGTGGATTTTGTTATGTTGTTTTTGTGAGATGTGCACTATATTGGGGTAGATGGACCTCCTCAAGTGCAGGGGCAGAAAAGAGATAAATCCATATTCCAGATATATAAATCTTAAAATCAAACTATTCACAGTGGATTTTGTTATGTCAATTTTTTATGTTCTGTTTTTAGAGTTTTAATATTTTTAACTCTTGCCTACTGCTCAGCAGAAGGAGCTGCGGTGGCTCAGGTAGTTAAGATGCTGAACTGCAGGCTGTGGAAGGTCGGTAGTTCAGCAGTTAAGCAAGAAATTGCAAGTAGATAAATAGGTACTGCTTCGGTGGGAAGGTAACAGCGTTCCGTGCGCCTCGGTGTTTAGTCATGCCAGCCACATGACCATGGAAATGTCTTCGGACAGTGAAACGGAGATGAGCACCGCAACCCTAGAGTCAGACTCGACTGGCTTTCGAGCAAAGGAAACCTTTACCTTACTGCTCATCAAGATGTCTTAGAATGAGTTCTCAAATAATTGTAATGCTATGTGGTGACAGTTTCAAATAACTTTGTTGCAGGCCAAGTTTACGGTGACAAAATCAGAAGATGAAGAATCATCCAAGGATGCTTATATTATTGAGTGCCAAGGAACTGGGATGCTAAATGCCAACTTGTCATTTCTTCTCTATTAAAAAAAAAAAAAAGATAACCTCAGTGATGAATTGCACTACATTTCAACTGACATGATTGAAAATGGGAGCTGTGATGAGTAACTGGTTTGAATTCATTTCCCATGCAGGATGGCTGTTTTGGGAGGAGAGGGACCAAGAGCTCATTGCTTTTTTTTTGGGTGGAAACCACAAGTACAAAAGACAGTGTGAAATTACAAAAACACCAGAGCAGCTGTTAACGACAGATACAGCAGTTATTTCAGCTTCTAAAAATTATTTTGCCATCCTCCTTGTCCCCTGCATTTACGAAAGAACATGTACAGAAGGAACCAGTTGTTACCCCTTACATTTTTTTTATTTCGGTAGCTTTCTCTTGCTGGGTTTCAGACAAAATAATAAAGCAATCTTGGTGAACTGAATGCATTTCCTTGTTCCTGTCAGTGAAAGTGCAGAGATTTGCCATTGCATTTATTTCAGATAAGGGTACTATTTTTATGTATCATTTTTCATTTGTCAGATTTTTCAGATAAGGGGTGTAGCATGGCTGTGAAAAATATGCATTGACTAGAGTGGGTTTCTCTCCTTCCCAGAAACTAGTCTTTGTCCTGTACCATCATTCTGTTCTGCATTTTGTTAATATACTACAAGTAGTTTAAAAAAAAATTCCAACCAGCTCCCACCATTTGAGGTGGCTCACATAATCTTAAAATAGCACTCTGTGGCTGAGTTCAGACTGGCAGTTTGAAGCGCGAGGGAGTCGTGGCAAAAAAGACCCGAAACAACGTGTTCCGGGTATTCCCGGTCACACTGCACCGACTGGTGCGGGAGCATACTGGGGAGGAGGCGCAAGGGAGTGTTCGCACTGTTGGCCTGCCCCTGGTGGAGGCCCTGCTGTAAGACACGGCTTTCTTTTTGGTAATCTGGGGATATGCACATCAGCAATTGCGGCTTTCGGTGTTCACACTTCGGGGAAGCGGGATGAACGCGCTCTCCAGGGTTTGCTGCCACTTTCACCAGGTACTTTTTAAACTCGGGAGGGAAGCATTACAAGACGGGCTGAGTACGGCTGGGGAACGCCGGACAGCTGTGCCTGTGTGAATGGCCCCTTTAATCCATTCGAGAAACATTTCTGAAACTTGCCTATATCGGGCCAAACTGCCAGTCTGAACTCGGCCTGTGTAATCCTGAAGTGTAACAAAAATAACCATTAAAAACAACCAATCAGCGCTGAAAATCAAGAGCAGAAAATAAAACAGCAGTTAAACATCTTTATCTGCCTGTCTTCGCCCACCAAAGACATGCATGGAAAGGTAGACCAGGATTTTTGTAAACAAAAAGCAAATAGAAAAGAACCTTGAGACTAATAGTGTAAAAGGCCTTGTGCGCCTCTTTTTCCCCTGTTGGATTAACCAGTGGGTGTTGATGCCCTGTTTGTAGAAGCCCCACATAACCACACAGGGAATGTTATGACTACCTTCGCCGCCATTGCTGTGACGTCACGACCTGGTGTTCAGGCTTTCCATCTATAGGGGGTGGTGGTCAGGTGCCCAGGAAAACATCAGTAAACAGAGCTGTCACTAAGTCACAGTCCTTCAGACATCCCCTCCCCCAGCATTGGGAGTATTGCCTTTAAGCGTGAAGAATGTAATGTGCTGTTGCACCCTCTGTCTTGCCTTTTGTCTTCCCTGTAAGTTTAACCCATTGTTAGCCAGAGCAAACCCAGCTGGGGTGTGAAAAGAGGACTTCTGCCCTCAGTAGCAGTGCTTATCTGACCAGCTGCTAAGACTTCCCAAGGAAAGCTCTTTTCCGTAAGTGCCCAGAGTCCACTGACACGTCAGCCATCATCCCCAGCACCCAGTATTTGTCCCAATGCTTAGCAGGACTCTGTTTCCTAATGTGTCACCGTGTACAGTAATAGAAACAGTCTGGGTTGGTTGTACCCAAAAGAACCAGCTGTTTAGAAGTATTTCTGATGATCGGGATTGCCTGATGGGGGCAGCAGATAACTACAGTCCATTTGTATTTTCAGTGTGTTCTTCCACCAGGAACAGTTGTCCTGCATAAAAGTATCAGGGAGTTTTGCCTCAATTCTCTTACTGCTTTTAGAGCTTTGTATTTATTGATCCATCACTGGGGAAACTGAGACAATAGCGTGTGTCCTGGATATTTGTTTTGAAAGAAAGAAGGATCTATTATTGTGGGACGATGTGGCTCAGTGGGCATGGCACTGGGCTTGGATGTGGGAGCCTTGGGGTAATGCCCATTCCTGACGCTGGCTTGAGAAGGGCCAAAACTCCTGTCTCCCCCTCCTCCCATTTAGCCGTAAGTCACAAGCTTAGTGAGGCAGCGGAAATGTTCTGGAAAGTCCAAGTGCCGTTGTGAATGCTGCCTAGCACTGGGAAGCAGGGACCTTGAAACAGGCCAGGGTTCAGACAAGGTTGTAAGGAGCCTTCATGAGTGCTTCCCAGACGGGGTGAGGCCTCTTGGGCCTCTTGGGTCTAGTGCTCCAGCTGTTGCACCATGTGTGTGACATTCATTACTTCCCTCCTTGTTCCGGGGGCTTTGAGATGAGACAAGCGCAAAACTCTGAACCCCTTCCGCAACACAAGAGGTGCTTGTAGCGCTGCCTTGTCATCCGAGAGAAGTCTAAGGATTGGCTGCCAGATGGTTCGGTAGCGTTACAGGTGACACAGTCAACAGCTCTGTCTCGGAATTCTTGCTGAATGCAAATAATTAAGAGATGTGCCGTGCGTGCAGTCCAAAGAAGGGTATAACTGTTTAGGATTGCACATCTTGCAGAAATCAACCACACCTTACTGTTCACAATCCACAGCAATCAAATCATCATGGTTTTAAATGGTGCCTGCCAGTATTCCCTCTAAGCTGAGTTAATGTGAGCTAGCTCACAGTTTTTTAGCTTCTGGCTCACACATTTTTGTCTTAGCTCAGGAAGGATGGCTCCAGAGTAAACTAATCTGTGCAGTAGCCAAATCACTCGCTCACAACTTCAATGCCAGTAGCTCACAAAGTAGAAGTTTTGCTCACAAGACCCCACAGCTTAGAGGGAACATTGGTGCCTGCCCTGTATTCTGTCTTTTCAATGTATGAGAAAGCAGGAGATGGCTGCATGAATCCAGAGCCAGGACATCGTTCACTGATGTTCCTGTGGGTATCAGGACAGGGGCTGTTTCCATATGTCAATTGAAAGCCTAGGTCTCTTCAGCATATGTATGGCTTGCTGAGTAAGGATTTTTCTCCATGCCTGCACATCAGTCATCACAGTTTCACCTTCCAAGGAGCTTGGTGTGTGTACATAGTTCTCTGTTCCATCCTCACAACAGTCCTGTGAGGTAGGTTAAGGTGAGAGAGTGACTGGCCCCTGGTCTTTCCAGTGATGTTCTATAGTTGACATTTAAGCCCAGTCCTAGTCTGGAATTCTAACCTCCTGCAGCAGAGACTACTGACTGCTTTGTTCTTCACACAGATTGACTCTTTACTGGGTCAGAGCCTACATTGTGTTTGATGAACCCTCCATTCTTAACTATGAGAAGGCCCCTCATTTATTCAAAAGCAGTAGATGCCTTCTTTCGAACCAAGGGCTATTCTAAATATTGAATCATCTGTATAACACTGTCTTAAAAATAGATTTCTGCGTGCATATATTGTCTTATGCTAAACTAGAAATAAGGCCCGTTGTGGAAATAAATACAACAGGAGCTAGAAAGAGGCTCTGGGAGAGTTGGGACTGCTGTTTGACCAGCAGGCTATGTTGTGGATCTGTACTGTGGATCTGTACTGGTCCCCCAACACAGTTATCTTCTTAAAAGCTGTAGGGCAGGGAGGTTAACTCCTGCATACCATTTTCTAGATTGAAATAGCTGGCCCCATGTTGTAGTTAACTTCAGTAAGAAAAAAGGACAAAGTGACGGTGCTAACAATACCCTGGGGTGGGGGAGGTCAGTTCTGATCAGAGTTAAGTATCTAGAAGGGGGAAAAAAATTACAAACTCTGTCTCCCCCCCCCCAAAAAAAACCCCACAACCCAATAACAAGGCCGAACAGCCTCTCAGCTACTCACAAGGAAGACTGGAGATGGAGCTTAATGCTGCCGGTAAAGTTATTCCAGGCTGTTTGTTCAGGAAAAGAAGGGGGAAAAATGAGGTTGAAAGGTGCCAAAGCTCTGCATATGTGATTCCCATTTCTATTACCTGTATTATTTCCCTTGTGTTAAAGGTTCAGGCAGGGCTGCCAGGAATATTACGCAAAGTGAAGCAGTGGCTCATCTGGCAATGGATTTTGGAAGGCCACAGTCTCTGTCTCCTCTGCTGCCGCTACTCTCTCATCCATTGTGCTTTGCTGCCTCCACCTCCACCATCTTACCCCGGAGCTGGAGCAGCGAATGGTCTGTTCTCTATCCATCTCCATTCCTCAGGTCTGTTCAGAGCATAGCACAGCAAGCCACATATGCTCTGATGGTCATGCACAGCTTGCTGTATTGTGTTGCGACCTGGGGAACTAGGAGTGTTAGCTGCTTCAGCTTCTTGGCAAGGAGGGGGGGAGACAAATAAGGGAAAGCAATGAGGGTGGCTTCAGGTAGTAACTCTTACTAAGCCATCGTTGGCTTCAGAGTCTAGCTACCAGCAGGTGGGTCACAAACATAACAGCGTTGGCTGCACAAATAGCTGCTACTTGAAAGACTAACTACCCCAGTTAGAATTGGGGGGTAGTTGAGCCGGCAGGTTTCTTCAGGCTGGATTTGGCCAGTTTCTTGCCTAATGTGTTAGGAATGTTTAGTGAAGAAGGAACGTGCTTCAGTGGACGGCTTTGGTATGCAGATCATTCTTGCCAGACCGGCAGTTCTGTGATTTATTTTTGCAAGATGTGAAATATTTCTTCTCCATCCAGCCCATGAATCCTGCTGTTTGCTCCTGTTTAAAATCTCTCTCAGCCTTTGACATACTTGGCCCGAGTCAAATGGCCTTTCCTAAAAAGTGCACAACAAACACTTTACATAAGCAACAGTAGTGAATTCTGAAGCCTGGCTTCACAAATCACACAGGATCCAGGAAAAGGGATGCAATTTCATATGCCATTTACTTCAATAGAAAAGTCAATTCCATATTTAAATATTTCCCACTGAAATCGGTGAAACTTACAACTGCTTAACTTTGACAGGATCATACCCAAGTAAGTGACATTTCTCCAGAATTCAAGCTGTTATTTATTTATGCTTTGACTTAGCAGACTAAGTTGGCATTGAAATAGTGAGTGTTCCAGTTTGGTTTTGATAAATCACTCCCCTCCCCCTTTTTGACTTCTAAACTTTTCTGTATTAGTTTAAGGATTCAGTTAGTAATATCTAATCCCCAAGTAACTAAACTGTCTATCAGCTATTGGGGTGACAA